TCGCGTTTCCAGTGGTAGGTCCTGGCATCCGGCGCCCGCCCATGTCCCGTCGCTAAAAGGTTTTTTCCCCCAAGTGTCCACGGGATGCACACAAGCACCCAACGGCTCATGCGCACACTTCATTTAAAAACAAACAACACAGCCCCCTCCTCTTTCCGTACCCCCCACTCCTGGCTCCGCCTGCTCGAGAGGAACTCTCAGCACCGGGCGGCAGAGGGGGAGGTGCAGGGGGGGGGCAGGAGGGTGGCCCGGCTGGAGCTCCTCCTGGAGGGGACGGACGGATGACACAGTTTCCATTCCTCTGCAGCCCTGGAAAGGGTTAAACCCACAGAGCCTTTTGCTAGAGAGGGCCCTTCTTCTGAAGAGGGTGAGGTTTGAGGAGGGGTGGGACCTCAGACAGGTACACTGCCATAGACTCCACCCTCCAAACCAGTCAGTCTCACATAGGGAACCATTGTTGCCAATCTCCAGGTGAGGGCTGGAGAGCACTCAGTATTACAACTGCTCTGCAGAAGGGAGGGCAGAAGTCAGCTGAAGTCAAAGGGGCAGATAATGGTAGGTTGGTGGCTAGCTGGGAAGGAGATGGGGTTGCCAACTACATGCTGACAAATTCCTGGGGATTTGAGGGGTGGAGCCTGGAGAGGGTGGGGTTTGCAGAGGGGTGGGACCTCAGACAGGTAGAATGCCATAGACTCCACCCTCCAAACCAGCCATTTTGTCCTGGGTAACAATTGCTGCCAATCTCCAGGTGAGGGCTACAGATCACTCACAATTACAACTGCTCTTCAGGTAGCAGAGATCAGTTCCTCTGGAGAAAACAGTGGACTCTGTCATTATACCCTGCTGAGGTCACCACAGCAAATTGACACTGTTTGCCCAAAGCCAGAGCACTCCCCCAGAGCCTCTTTCTAGGTCCCGTTGTATTGCTTTCACAACGGGCTTTACTCCTAGTACTGAATATAAAGAGGCAGTATATGACATTTAGGATAGGTGCTGATTACTTCAGAAAAAAGTTTAGAAGCCTAGTGCCTCAGAAAGAGAAGTCATTTAAGTCTTTTAGTGCTAAACTGACTATTTTGATAATACGCTTCTTGTACAAATAAAGTTTTATTTTGTTTTATGAAAACCTAGAGTTATATGCTATTACAATACAACAGTCTCATCTTCAGGACCACATAGTCCCATGAAGGAGCCTTAGAGCTTGGGCATAGTACCTTGGGAAATATTAATAGGATTGGAATTAAATTCCTGGTGTCAGCGTTACATATCAAGAGAGAGAGAGAAATAAGAAAGTTAAACACACCATAAGTAGTGACAGACTTCACATTCCTGGGATCCCAGATCACCGCAGACTGTGACAGCAGCCATGAAATTAAAAGACGCCTACTCCTTGGGAGGAAAGCGATGGCGAACCTAAACAGCATGATAAAAAGTAGAGACATCACCCTGCCAACAAACGTCCGCATGGTCAAAGCAATGGTATTCCCAGTAGTCATGTATGGCTGCGAGAGTTGAACTATAAGGAAGGCCAAACGCCGAAGAATAGACTATGGTGCTGGAGAAGACTCTTGAGAGTCCCTTGGACTGCAAGGAGATCAAATCAGTCAATCCTAAAAGAAATCAACCCTGACTGTTCCCTGGAAGGCCAGATAATGAAACTGAAGCTCAAATACTTTGGCCACCAAATGAGAAGGGAGCACTCACTGGAGAAGACCCTGATGCTGGGAAAGATTGAAGGTCAAAGAAGACGGGGATGGCAAAGGATGAGATGGTTAGACAGTGTCATCGATGCAACGAACATGAAATTGAGCAAACTTCAGAGGACGGCGGAAGACCGGAAAGCCTGGCGTGATCTGGTCCATGGGGTCACGAAGAGTCGGACTCGACTGTGCAACTGAACAACAACAAATGAAAAAGTTGCCCCAGAGACCACAACTTTGATTTTGCCATTACAGTACAAGGGTATAATACTGCTCACTTTATTCTATTTTTGTTGCAGCAAAGAAAGTTTTTAAAAGAATGTTAGGCATTAAATCCTCAATGCTGATTGTTTTGAAGAACCATACCCTGCCATTCACTTCATTAGAATTTAAGATAGAACAAAATTTAGGTATCTGAAGCAATTCCATTTCATATTAAAAATTCAGCTCCAGGGCTTGAAAGAATTGATTTTGTATCACTAACAAAACACCTGGGGTTGAGGGCTCTTAGCTGACTGTATAGCTCGTCTATGATCTATATGAAAATTAATCACAACTTTAAAAAAGAAAAAGAAAATAAAATGAATTACAACTTAACATTGTCTACTGCTTTATTCCAAGCAGGACTTGTGCCAAATTGTCTTTATAGTAACCCTGTAAGGTGGACTAGCACAATTATATCCAAGCTAGCAAAGGCTGAAAGGAAATGGTCTCCCTACAACCATCTAGTGAGTTCACAGCAAAGATATTGTTTGATGTTCCTGATTCCTAACACTGCCTCATAGTTACTGTATGTCTGTTGTATTCCACACTGAATAAATGCCAGATTCTGGTAATTGTTAAGACTGTGCACATTTCCTCCCTCCCATTTTGGTTCATTTTCATTTTTACCAACCGGATTCGCTTTCTTTATATTAATTATTAATACTGTTCATTTTAGTTGTGAGGTGCTTAGTGCGTTCTTGTTTCCACAGCTTTCAATGGGAAATTCATATTCTATTGTAACCCTCCTCCCATGACTCTAATTGGGCTTCAGTTCTTCGGGCTCATTTCTCACACCCTTCCTGCCAAATGTCGGACAAATGAACAAAGGGAATTACAATTCTTGCTTGTATGATGCACACAGGAAGGCCTTTGGCAGCCCAAGAAAGTAGGTAGGTTTCTGGAATATAATTTATTTGCTCCTTTTCCGTTTTACTGGTGTTGGGAATGGGACAAAGGTGGCTTTTAGTCCCTCCCCCACAGTTTGCGGTGCTGCCTGCTTCTATGCTCAGGGTAGCCCAGAACAACCATGGACTCCAGGCAAAGATTCACTCTGAGCCCTGATATTGGTCACAGAAAATGTAAACATCATACGGAAACAAATCACATGTTTAGCCATGCTCTGTGCCCCCCCCTCCCCACATGACCAAGGCTGCTGGAATGTTGCCCTCTCATTCCATCTATTGACAGCCTTGTGTGAGCAACCAGAATGTTTGCCTCTGTGCCTGCCAGCTTCAGCCCAGTAAGACTACAACAGCAAGCAAACGGCATCCAGTGCACAGAAGGAATCAATTGAAAGACCTTCTTGAATTAGTCAGCGGAATGTGATTGGAATTACTTCGGAAGACCTATCAGCATAATCCTGTTTGGTGTTGAGGCTTTGTAACTCTGTTGAGTGGGAAACATCCCTATCGCTTACATGTTGGTTGGGCCACTGCCCGCCTCTATCTGACCATCATCAATTTTTCAATATAAATAATAGCAGCTGCATTTTAAATAGAACCATTTCAGGTTTTGATTAGTTAATGTTTATTTACTTCATTTATATCCCAACTTTTTTTGCTGATATGGACTTAAAATGGCTTAACATCATTTGTCTCATCTGTATTTTCCTTGAAGCCACATCCCTGAAAATGACTGCACATTGGAAAAGAATTTCTCATCTCATTGTGGTCACTCACTAATATGATGTAGCATTTCAGATAAGTTAATGGATTAATCTGATGTACTGTGGTGGGAAAGGTTGAGGTTTTAATGGCTATCAGCACACACTGTTATTACATTACATCTCTGAGAACTGCAATAAGAATTTTGTGATTCAGTTTATATTTGTTTCTCAAGCTTAAACATCCAAAGCTCTGCATGGAGTATTTTGAGATAAATTTACATGTCCTGAAGGAAATGATATGAACATTAGTAACATTTAGAAAGTGTTGTGCTTAATCCTCCAAAATATGGCAAAATGCACACACTTAAACTGTAAACATCATTAACCTCACATTTTATTAAAAAGGTGTCACTTTCACATTTAGATTGTTTACAACATACTGCTTATTTCAGATTGGGGAGGGGGGGTCACCAAACCCCAGTAAACATCAAGTCTCTTAACACCTTTAGCAATGTGAATTAATACTGTACTGAAAAAAACTTTGAGATTCCTGGCAAGTTGAAAGAGCATCTGCCTTGAACTTCTTTTTAATTCAGAAAAGCCTCCCATGGGTTCATGTAATAGATGTACAGCACAAATCAGAGCATGTTTACTCAGAAGTGAGACTCCACTGAGTTCATTGGAATGCTCTATAAGAAGAGGGCGTAGGACTGTTTTCTCAAGAATGTGGAGTGGGCATCCTGCTATCAGTAGGGACCAGATTCATTAAGGGGGGGGGGACTGCATGAAAATTTCATGCAAAGATTTCAACCAAAGAAAGAAAACAACATACTGATCCTCTGAAAATGGCCATGTTAATTTTCTGAGTGCATGGATATACACGTAAATGTTGCATGAACACGTTGGACTGACTCATCTCCAAGCACTTTCCAGTCCATGCAGGTGTTTCACAAGGACATACATGCAGACAACATATGTTGTTCCACCATACCTGTGCACAGGGAGGGGTTTTAATGGAGTAGGACCCAGGATATGACTTTACACTGGACCCTATGGCTGCTTTTGTACAGCGCTGAGGACTTTGTGGGAAAGCAGCTAACTGCAGCATCTCTACCTCGTCAAGGTTATCTAAAGTAGCCATCCCAAAAGAACAAGGTAATATGTTTCAAACATTTTGAATGCCTTCAATGTCCACCTTTAGACGATGGGTGTTTAAGCGCATTATAAACCAGCATATTACAAGACAAGGTTCTAAAAGCATGCACAGCTGTGGGCAGCCCTTCAGATCTGTATCGAACCTTGCTCACATGCTGCAGGTTCTCTGGTTGTTATCCAACTCTCTTTGTATGTACATTTGTTCCATACTGGGATGAAGCAGACAGCAATGGCTAAACAGACATTGAGACAGCTTTCAATGTGTGGTGTGCCTGCTATACATAGCCCTCATGGCAGTGGTGGTTGCCGTTGATGAAGCTGAAAGCGACCATTGATTGGTTGGTGCTCTTGAGAGATGTCATCCGTGTGGTGCTTCTGCCCATGCTCTGGGACCTAATGAGAACACGGGCTTTGCAACACGTCAGCTGATGATTAAACTGTTTCCTAAAACTTTTGCTGAGCAGGTAGAGTGCGAAAGGGTTTATGCAAGAGTTAGCAAAAGCCAGGATTCGAGCACAGAGAGAGGTGATAAAATGCAGAACGGAAGTGTCCACCTCTGAATAGTGGTATGACCGATATAAGTAGATGATATGGTTGGGGAGCCAACAGAAAGCGAAGATGCAAACAAAAACCAGCACTGTCTTGGCGAGACGTTTCCGGGATTCCATCTGAAAAGAACAAAGGGGATTATACATCAGCAATTTTGAATTTAATCGAAGAAGCAAACACTTGTGGTTTTTTTTTTTGAAACAATGCCTGCTTTGCTACAAAACTAAAACTGAAACTGACTAAATAAGTATAGGCTCATTCTATGCATACTTTTACTGATCCAGATGGGCAACCATATTGGTCTGAAGCCGTAGAACAAATTTTGAGTGCAGTGGCACCTTTAAGACCAACAAAGGTTGTTGGCCTTTTTTTTTTTATAATATCTTTATTGGATTTTCAAGTAAAAAACCTCCCAGAACGTGAGGTTAAGGTTGTTGGCCTTAACGGTGCCACCGCACTTAAAAATTGTTATACTTTTACTGAGAAATATATCCTACTGAGTGCAATGAGATCTATGCTCTTCTAAGCATCCCCTGACCTGGATGGTCTCATCAGATCTTGGGAGTTAAGCAGGGTCAGCTCTGGTTAGTACTTGGGTGGGAGACCTCCAAGGAAGTCCAGGGTTGCAACATAGAGGCAGGCAATGGCAAACCACCTCTGATAGTCTCTTGCTTTGAAAACCCTACGGGGTTGCCATAAATCGGCTACGATTTGATAGAGTTCACCACCATCAAGCATATATAGGAATGTATATTTAAGGATCCGTTCAAAGTTGACACAGCTCTAATGCAGTTGTGTGAAAATCAGGGGTCACCCCTATAGATGTCTGCCTGCAGAGAAAACAGTGTGTCGATGAGCCAGTCTAGGCTGCATCTGGATCAACATTTCTGAGTGACTTTTCTGAATGCCACCATTATATTAGACATGTTCCAGCATTAGTGACTTGAGAGGAAGATCCAATGTTCTTGGTCACATCATACAGTACAATTGTATGGCAGAGAAAGTATTATGTGAACAAGAGGTACAGGAATATACTTTTTTTAAAAAAAATCCATTGAGGTATTGCTTATCATATTATAATTTCACTCAGTTTTCCATGCTACTCAGCTTGGCACATTAGGTGCAAAATCTGTATAAAAAGAGAACAAAATGGAAATATGGGAAAACACAGCACTTTTCTATCCTGTGCCAAATATATGAGTCTTAAACTGCAGATGCAATGGCAAACACTTGGCCTTGAAATGTATGCCATTTGCTCTGCACTAGACAAGCTGAGGATGAGTATGGACTCAAAAGACCGACTTGTGTGGACAGTAAGGGCCAGATGTGTCTTCTGTCATCCCATGATCCACTTCAAAATCCCTGCAGACACGCTCATTTAATGGCCCCAATCGTCAGGTAATTGCACTCAGCCTACGGCACCTGCCTTACTGCCCAGCAGATGGTCAGCTTTGACAGCCCTGATTACCTATTTGGAGATGACAGCCTGAATCCAGGCCCAACTTCTCACCTCCCTAAATGGAGTCCAGATTCATTCCCCCATTCCTGTGGGACAGATATCAGTGTTGCAAAGCGGACAGCAACAACCATCTGTTTGGAGACATACATTTGTTTTCCAGTCTAATGCCAAGAACTGAACCAATCATGAAGCCCTACATGTTTGATGCCAGAATCTACCTTTGGGACTCTGTGCACAGCATCCTATTTCTCCATGTGGTCTTCATTCCAGTAGATGATTGGTTATCTAGTAAGTAACTAGATGACTGATTATCTAGTAATGCAGTCTCTTTTGGTTTCCTCTAACACTTAATAACATGAAAAAAGTTACTCCTCTCAAGCTGCAGCAAGCTTCATTTTTTTACTTACACACTTGAAAAGCAATCTGTGATCTTTAGATATCTGACCTCTATGATATTGTGTTTCACACTGTGGGGATCAGAAAGCATTTGTGCCTGGCATTTCACAATGTCATGTGTTAGCTAGGCAATCACATATCTGTGATACATACAGTTCTTTTACCCCTTTTGGGAGTGGGAAGGATCATGACTATTGGGCTAAATATAAAAAATATTGGACTTCAGTCAGAACAGATATCTGACCCCTATGACCAGAAGTCACATCTTGGATGCATCTGGAAAGAAAACATGTCATTGCACGTGGTGCTTTACTGTCCAACAGGATAATATTGACAACTTGTCATATTAACATATCGATATAGGTTGTCCACTTAAGTTGATGGTGCACCAGAAAACTTTCTGCTGCAGCATTGCTCAGGAAAAAAGTTGGATATACAGTCCTTTCGACAGAGGTGACAATGGCGACACCTACTGACTTGGTTACCGCCAATGAGGTATGGTTTTGAGGCTTGGAACAGGATTCAGGTGCAGAGTATGGGAATAAGGATACAGATGGAAGAACTAGAGTAACACATGGATCTTGGTTTCCAGTTTGATTTGGAAAATCCATCCATCTCTGCCTCATTTGCCTACTGGGTTGAGCCAGCCCTTCTGCCAACAGCAAAAACATGTGGTACAAAATGTGGTGGCCAGCCAGGATTGGTGATTGCTATAAACTTGGTAGTGTGAGGGCAGTGCCATGCACTATTCTAAGCCTATGTATTTATGGCCTGGGATATAAAGATGCAGTGAAGAATTGCCATGCACTATTCTAAGCCTATGTATTTATGTCCTGGGATATAAAGATGCAGTGAAGAGTGTCAAGAGATATAAGAGATTCTTCTATCCATTTGACCTCTTGCAGGGAAACAATACTTATCAGTTGATCATTGTTCTTTCACTAATAGCCAGAGGTCATTTCGGGGGGGAACGCGGGGGAATGCAGTTCCCCCGGGTGAGGTACGGGGGCGGGGCACATGACGAAGCCCCGCCCCCTGCTTCCGGCCGCCCCGCTTCCGGCCCTCATTCAGCCAGGAGGAGGCAGGAGAAGAGGGAGGGTAAGTTGCTTCCTCCCTGCCTCTCCCCACCCCTGCCTGCCTGGGGACAGGGAGGGCCTTCACGGGGCTTCCTTGCACTCCCGCCGGCCTTGCAGGTCCACCGCCAGGCCCCTCATGGGGCTCAGCAGTGGAGCTGCAAGGCCGGCACCGGCAGTCGGCACCAGTGGCCAGGACCGTTGGGGCGGGATGTATGGCCTTATGACACATTTCCGGTGATGTGAGGAGGTGTGGCCTTATGACACACTTCTGGTGATGTCAGGGGGTGTGGCATATACTAATGAGTTATGCTAATGAGTTCCCCTAGCTCTTTTTCTACGAAATGACCCCTGCTAATAGCTAGCAAGCAGCATTTGACTTCTTTCAATTTACACCCCTCTCTTGTTCTGAACAATTGACTGGGCTGTTGTCTTTGCTTGCCTGCCTTCTTCTCCTTGGTCTTGCCCATTATCTATTGCTGCTGCTTCCAGGTGGCTCAGCCATCTTTGTTTGTGTGCATTAGGCTAGCCATGTTGACTAAGAGCAACTAATCAGCTAAAATACTGTACATTTTGGCCAAAGGCCATGCTGTGATTTTCTGTTGTCAGGGAGAGAATCTTGAATACAAGACTGCATTGTGAATTGCGCTCCCCTAATTTTCATGTTTTATATCCCCCCCCCCATGTTGTAGTCTCCCTTGAATCTCAGTGAGAATTGTGGCCTATAAATAAGGTAAGTAAATAAATAGACAGGCTGTATCAGCATGGGACTCAAACTGGGTTGGTGCCATTTTGTGTGCTGAACTTCAGTGGAGCGAGCCACTTGAGGGTGTACAATGGAAGAAGAGGCAGAACAGCTCTGTAAGACCCCAGCAGTGGGGCAATCAAGTGGTTCTGCAAGTGGTTCTTCCTTACATAGCTTGGCGATAAAGATTTTCAGGTCAGGCCTAGGCAATACCAGACAGTGGCTTTTTTAGTCTTGCTCCAGATGTTGGGTCCTTACAGCTTCTATGCCTGTTCTTCTCTCTGCTTCCCTATTTGCCTTTCATTCAGCCCACTCAGCTAAGACCTCAACCTGCAATTGACTCTGCCTTTGATGCAAGAATTCTGTCCAAGCTAGGCAGTAATCCTGTCAGATGTCTAACTTCATTTCCCTGTAGTTTAGCACTTACAGTCTATTGACAAATCTACGTGACAAGATACAATTTGCAATACAGGGGTGAAGAGAGAAGCTTCAACAAATTAATCACTCAGCTCCTCAGGAAAGGGTTCATTCTGCCCTGAAGGAAACAAGCTGGTAACCAGCAATTGCACAACCAATGTAATATATCGCGGATACTTTAAATCCTCTGTTCCTCTCAATTGAATCAATTGAAAGGTAAGAACTGACATGACAAAGGATGGATGACCTGGACTTGCTGAGAAGCAAGTTTTATCAAAACACTAAATGAACATTAAGCTCTGCAAGTAAAACTTGCTGTGAAAGTAAATGAAATACACTTTCAGAAGTGTGATCTTCAATAAATACTAAAGCTATTGCTTTGCTATTTGCAGTATAAAGCCAGAAGACAATACAATAAATGTCAATAGTATTTATATCTGAAAAAGACCTATTGTCAGCTAGCTGCCATGTTTTAATGGCTTCCTTCTGTGACCCTGGCACTACGGCGCATGCTTCCTAGCTTGCTCGCTGCTCTGCCCGCTTGCCGTAAACAGCGATACGGAGACCGTGCGAATCAGTGCTGCCAGACTGAGTTATCTGTCTAACCTTGAGACGGAGGGAGGGCTTGCATTCCAGCACTGGTGAGAATATTTTGGCTCTCATGGGGCACTGAGACTCTCCCGCTTATTATGTAACCTCCCGCTGGGAGAATTCCCGCCCCCGTGCTTGGATTTCATTTGCTTAGCCATTTGCCTCATCCTGCTATATGTAGGGATGCTTCCGCCCCATCGTCATTCCTAACAATAAACCTGTGGACATGGTAACAGACCTGTAGTCTAATAAAGCATAACGCTTCCCTGGAAACGTGTGTGGAGATTTACTTGCTGTTGAACCTGACATCTATAAGCTTTGTGTATAAATCTAATAAGTGAAATCATGAATTGGCAAAGTTAAGATTCACTCCCATTCTTCCTGACTGGTGAGAAGTCCTATTTAACTTTCTATAAATTCAAATGTAAGATACAGAGA